TATAGTCATTAACGTTATTGAAACTGACAGCTGCTATACAGCTCGTTGAGAAATGAGGTTAAGTTGGTCGCTATAAGCTACTCCCTACGTCCAATGTGTCAGAGCCAACTTCGACCACGTTTTTATTTGAACGCTCGTTACTATTAGAAGTTTCTCTGCGGAATATTGTTCGGAAACCTGTTATAAATAAAATATCAAAAAATCAACTCGAGGCTAGTTGGGAAACTTTGTTTTAACAGTGGTCAAAGTTATAGAAAAGTGGTTTTTTGGCTCACGTAAAAAAACTATTATTCATAGCGAAAAAAAGTTTATACAAAAAAGGTATATATTAAAAAAGCCTATAAAATCAGAAAAGTCCGATTACATTCCGATAATTTGTTTATGCACAAGAGCTCAAAAATGGTCGAAAATTGCCGTTTTCTTCAATTGCTAATAATTAATGCAATTTTCATCGCAGACACTTGTAATTCAGGATATTTTAGGCTTTTGACACCCTTAATAAGTGGTAAAAATTTCAATCCGAAAGCTTCATTGGTTTGGCGTTGGCGGAATTTGTTATCTAACAAGATGCTATTTTCAATTGATTTTTCCCAAGCTCACAGGCGCTGTAGGGTTTCGAACATTAGTTGTTTTTGTACCTAAATAGTTGTATAACATATGCATTTACTGAGAGTTTAATTCTTCAAATTTAATTTGGTTAAAAATGACTGAAAAAATTTTAATATTTATTGATATGTTAAGATAGGTAATTATTATAAAATGAAATAGTAACCTCTATACTTTAGTTTTCTTCGAATTTAAAAAAAAAATCGTTGTTGTAAGTTGATTAGAAGCTGAGATAATTTTTTTTATTTATTTAATCGCAGTGACCTTAATTATTAATATTAAGAGCCGAAATTTGGAGAGAGTATACATTAAGAGCTATATTTTCATGTCCTACATTAACATTAAGGTGAATTCAACTATTTAATTTCGAAAAAGAAGATAGCGGCGATGCGTTCTATTACTTGGTCTAGCGAACGAGTGGGGAAGGCGAGGCTTAGCATGCGCGCTTAACGATGTAATAAATATTAACATTTTTTCAGTCATTTTTAAACAAATTAAATTTGAAAAATTAAATTATCAGTAAATGCATATGTCAATACAACTATTTAGGTACAAAAACAACTAATGATCGAAACCCTACAACGCCTGTGAGCTTGGGAAAAATGAATTGAAAATAGCATCTTCTTAGATAACAAATTCCGCCAACGCCAAGCTAATGAAGTTTTTGGGCTGAAATTTTTACCACTTATTAAGGGTGCAAAAAGCTTCAAAAATCCTGAATTACAAGTGTCTGCGATGAAAATTGCATTAATTATTAGCAATTGAAAAAAGCGGACAATTTCGACCATTTTTGAGCTCTTGCGCATAAACAAATTATCGGAATTTAATCGGACTTGTCTTATTTTACAGATTTATTTAATACCTACCTTTGTTGTATAAACCTTTTTTCTCTATGAATAACAGTTTTTTTACGCGAGTCAAAAAACCACTTTTCCATAATTTTGACCATTGTTTTAACAAAGTTTCCCAACTAGTCTCGAGATTTTTTGATATTTTGTTTATAACAAGTTTCTGAACAATATTCCGCAGAGAAACTTCTAATAGTATTTTTTTCCCAAAAAAACGCTATAATGACTGGCCTAGTAGGTAAAAATGAAAATTAGATCATATTTGCAAATAAAACTTTATTTAAGGCTTCGTGCATTTACATAAATCAAAATTCACACTTCGGCGTTGGTCCTGATCCATTCCCTGAAGGCGCTGACCCTTGCAAATCCCGTGGGGGATCCTCCCTGACAGTCCCCCGCGCCGAATGACACCACACCCACCTGGACGCCGTCGACGACGAGAGGGCCTCCGGAATCGCTGTTGCATGCCGACACGATACCCTGTGGACCTAAGGAATAAAGAAACGCATCACTGTAGTCCCATAGTTCTCTCCAGAATCGTCACTTACCGATTCCAGAGGTGCACAGAGTAGAATCTCTCACGATACTAAAGAAACTGCGGCATTCATTGTTAGAAATAATGGTGAGGTTGACTCCGTTCAGGACGGGTGAGAGTTGAAAACTTTCTGTGACTCCCCAACCGGTCAAGAAGGCGAGCCTGCCTTGGAAATCGGGTGCCGTGGAGGGAGCGAGGGGTACGACCTGGATGGCGGCGGTAATGGCCACCGGGGAGGGCAGCAAGATCACCGAAATGTCGTTTTCGACTGTCGCCGCGTCGTAGCGTTCGTGGTTTATGAAGCTGGTGCTGGTGAGACGTACCTGGGTGGGTTCGTTTTGGTTGTGGTAGTGGGCGCCGAATCGCAGTTCTACGAAGGCAGCGCTGAAAAGGAGTTTTTTTTTTATTTGAGAGACGTCGTTTCAGTTTCCATATTTTTTCAATTATCATATTCGTCCAGACAGTAGCAGTTACTTACATGAGTGTGCAATGTGCGGCTGTCAAAACTCTCGTGGTGGATATGAGGGATCCCCCGCAGAGGTTGTTACCGTTCATAACCACAGCTACTTGGTACGGAACAGAATTGGGTTCCACCTCGTATCCACCGATGATCCTGGGTCCGGGAAGGTCGACGGCTTTCCTTATGGGCTCAACGACAGCGCAGAGGGGCTCCAAGACCTGGTAAATGGAAACAGTTTGGAACAACAGCGACAAGAAACCCTCGGAAGAAAACGGAACTTGGTAACAATTACCTCGGAAGAGGACTGAGCCAGGCAGAAGCCTAGGAAGGCGAGGAGATAGACAGTACACTTCATCGCAAAAAATGAATTGAACGATTTTCGAAACGCTTCCATTTTATATAAGATTCTTATCTTTAATACTTTTTCTTACATCCGGTCTTTGATGTTTAAAATCCTACTCAACATTAAGGTTTTTTTTGACGTACTATATCATTGGATTTTGTCTGACATTATTCTAATCACCATTGTCTAAATCGTAATAATTTGATTTATGAGTAAAGGAACTTTGTAAAACAAGTTAGAACTTGCGTCATGTCGGATATTTCGTACAGTTTTTTGAAAAATGTGCCATTTTTAAATGTTGCAAACGATATTCAAAATGTCCAAGTTTGATTATTTAAGACCTCTAAAATTTACCTGTTTAAAACACCGAGAAGACAACTTTAATTAAGAGTATCCCGACAATATTTAATTTGAGTCATTATTTCTGGTCAAACTTTGTAGACTATTCTTAATTTATTTATTGAGATTATTCTGCAAATTCCATATTATCGATAAATATAGTGAAATACATACTAGTAGCAGTTACGCACGAAAGTGGATTAGGTGGATTTACAACAATAATCCCCATTGAACCCACTTAAAGCGGAAGTCTAGGATTTGTGAAGTCATGTCATAAATTAATCATGTGACTGTCATATACAGAATTGCATTCTTCTCAAAACGAATTATGTGAATATGAAACGTCATAAAATCTCATATCAAGTGTTTCGTTTGAAAACAGGTAAAAAATTCATCAATTTTGTTGTTAGTCGGTTTGGAATACAAATAAGTGTAAAGAAACAAAAAGTGAAGATAATACAATGGCGCATATGGAGACCTATTTTATTTGTAATATTATAAAGGGTGATATATATTTTTTGGCAAATAATCGGTGATACCCACACTTCCGCCACTGGTAAGTTTCTAATGCTGGTAATTTTTTGTATCATACCTACTGCCTTAAGAAATATGCACTCCGAATTTGGTTAAATTATCTCAAGCGGTTTCGAAATTAAAAATTAAAAACTATTTTGACACGCTGTAGCTGGACAATGGCTGTCCTAAGACCCCACATATATATATATA